CATATCGCTACGTGGAAGGTGCTCCCTTCAGTTTCAGTTCGGTTGGACAGCTTGAATCAGCAGATTCTCCGCAACCACCTTGGTTTGTTGTTAGACGTGTGCAGAAATTCAAATATGATCGAAAGACAACTCACCGATAGTGCTTGGCCTTCAAATTTCTGTTTTCCAAATCGATATTTCATCTTCGAAAAGAAGTCGACCTAGCGGAAAATCTGTGCAGTTTTGTTCAGTTATTTCATCCTTGTTAGAAATCACCAGGAGTGCGCATCTCACAAATTTCTTGAGCGATGTGCGATTCAACAACAAGCGGATGATCAATAGTATGGTTAGCTCGCAATCAGGCACACGATGTTTCTACATCTTCTCATGACTTGCGGAGGAGAAGACGCATTTCTGACAATGCTTTTGATGTACAGAAACTGCCAATAAAGTAAACACAAATGGCGTGCACATTACTTCAGCAGTTTCCGAAGTTAAATTCATTATGTATAGATGCAATTTTGCACGTGGCGTTGTCTGGGTGCCTCAATGACTTATGGCGTCCGCCCACAAAGTTGGTCAACCAACCGGAGGAGCGAATTTTTTCGACCCATTTCACTGACTCCAAAATACCGACTTACAGGTCACCGTTTCAAATAGGTTTTGTAAGTAATCGGTGGATTTGTAGCTGGAAACAAGAGTTTCGTCGGACCAGGCAAGTAGGTCACTAGTTTTGCCCAGGCGAGCCATGCAGCAAAATCCCTGTCGACTATCACATGAGATCAGTGTTGAAACATGATTAAAAGATTTTGCCGGTTAGTGTGACTGCTCGAGTTTTCTGGCCGATGGATTGGGTTCTCGGTCTGCCTGTTCATTATGCCCGATGAAGCTTTTGTGTCAAAAGCGGAACGTTACCCAACTATAGATCCATCAGTCACCAAACGATCATTTGTAGCAGCGGAGCTTGGTGTAATTCGAAGTGTTCTACTCAGGAAATAAATTTAAACACTCCTCCAGTTTAACATCATTTGCGAACTAGTTTCCACGAGGTGTTCTTTGAAAGATAACGTATCCTGAGCAGACTGTCGTTTGCCTACTTTGAATGGGCCCCATAATCGTAAGATGAAATCTGTCGGTGAGTGGATTCACAGCGTAATCAACGGCAGGAATATAAAGGCGTTATTCACAGATCCTCGGAAGTTCTCGGGACTGTTTGAAGTAGAGGTACGTGCGTGACCGGAAGATCGCGCCTATCCGAGCTCTGGGGCAAATAATTTAAATGCAGTCGTTCCAACAGAACCCTCCTACGTTGTCTCCTGTTTGGATCAGTTTGGTTTGTCAATGATCAGTTCCAAGGAAGCTGAAGATCCAACAAACTTAACAAAGAAACTGAAGCGCTGGTTAAGTTTAAACCTAACAGACGTTCTGGTGCCTTTTTGTATACTCAAAGATGTGGTGAGCCATTCAACTCGTGATTTCTGCAGTTTTTGGTAATGGCTTTTGGTGCCAGTGCCGCTAGGTGTGCATTCAGTACATCTCCGATATCATATCATGAGCAGCAAACAATTCTAATTAGAAAACTGTGAGATTCTGTTTTGGAGTCCCTTAGGCTTTTTACATGTGAAAAAACGTAAAAATTGGTGCCAGTGCCGCTAGGTGTGCATTCAGTACATCTCCGGCTTTATATCATGAGCAGCAAACAATTCTAATTAGAAAACTGTGAGATTCTGTTTTGGAGTCCCTTAGGCTTTTTACATGTGAAAAACTGGAACGTAAAAATCGAACACCCCGAGTCTTAGATCGGCAAACTCAATTTTCAGTTTATATTCTCAGCAATCATGAATTCGATGACTTTGTGTGAAACCACGTCCTTCGTAAACTCTCCGAATTTCACTCAAAACCCGTTTTCACTTCGAAGCTGTTCCTAATATTTCTATTTAGTCGACAGACCTGATAAGTTGCCGCGCCCCAATGGTGATAATGACTCCTCTGCGCAGCTTTTCTACCACTGCCTGTGGGTTGTGAAGTAATCCGAAAAAGAGCCCTCCAGGGAATGGGTCGTATGGGCTCTTCCTGGTGTTTGCTTCACGAGTGCACTGTTTTGGCCACTACTGTGGTATTTGATGGTTTTGTGTACATAGTGCTTTAGAGGTTCACGTGAAACAATTCCACGAAACCCCATGACACTTTGACAACACGACATCCGGCCTGATATTCTACACAAGGTGGTCGGCGCACTAAGGTTAAGATAAAATAACAGAAACGGTCCAGAGAATTGTTGCGATATCGGTTGAGTGATCGAACGACCGGTAATAGATGGGCTCGCTCTTCACCTTCGATGTGGACAGTTGACATCCTCCTCTGTAATCAAATAGGGCGCTATTGCGGAGGATACCATAAGTTGCAGTGACTAACCTTCGGGGACGAGTACAGAGCACATTTAAGCACAAGGCTAGAAGTTTGCCTTTAAGAACAATAACCAAATTGTTTTGAGCTCAAGCTGGCTCAATGGTTAATGTGTGAGCTTACTGACCAGAAGTTCAAACTCAACCTCAGCGTCTCGGCTGCTCCTGTCTAGGTTTGAGCAACCTGGTAGTATCTCAGCCCTCGCGCATCCTTCAGGTGGCATAATAACTGGGCACTGAAGGGGTGTTACCGTTCTTAGACATAACTCGCTGCTCATAAGGTTTTTGAAAACTATTCGGCGGATGAATATCATAAACGAGAGATTCAGCTTGAATCCAAATGAATCTACCATGGAGACCAAATTAATAACGAGCTTATTGTTGATATTATCGTCACCAAACTGTTTAAAACGCTACCTGTGACCACTCACCCACGTTGTTTGACTGAGTAGTTCACTTTCCATCTCGTTTATTGAATACAATCGGGGATTGTCGTTTCGAGGACCTTGATGCATGCAAACCCTCAGATTGACTGTAATTTGTTTAGCGTTTTTTAATAACACCGAAGTCGCCACTGGTGCTAATAAACTTTTAAATCGGTGAAAAGTTCGTCTAACGAAGTGACAGAACTACCGCATCTTTTTTCAACTTAGCTTGTCTTGCTTATTATGTTTGGTGCACCTTCTAATACGATTCTCTCCAACCTACTTTTTCTACAGGTTTTATCAAAGGCTTGTAAAGTTGTCCCAGTAATGTTAATGGGTACCTTCATTCAGCGGCGCTCATACTCGCTTTCCGAATACTTGACTGCCGGTAAGCTGGTGTTCTTGTCCAGTTTTCCTGTTTGATTCCGGCTTGATACTTATTTTTCCCGAGCCGTTTGTTCCACCAAATTGCTTACATCCACAGTTTTGCCTTCCCTTTCTGAGAGGAAGGATGCCGAGATTCAGTGCAATGGCTTCTGTTGCCTTACGTGAGTCATAGCTTTTGAGTTCTGTGGAGGATTTATTTTGCTGGATGGTAAGTAAGACATAGAGGGATGGTTAATTGACTGACAGATAAATGGATTCCTTTGGACGAAGGCCGGGAAAAAGATTCTAGAGAGGATCGGTGAACGAAGTGCTGCAAGGGCGAGTGATACTATCTGAGTGATCAGGTTGACGCGGCGCGGCCTGTTTGAGGTACTCGAACTTGAGCCGTTGACTCACAAATCAGTGGGAATGTGCTGTTTGGCTTCCAGACTCCGAACTTAGACTTTGTTTAAAGACTCGCACCCACAAAGCAACAGGTTTCCCCGTGTGGCTCTGCCCGAAGCTAGTAACACAGCAATCTACTCTGCCTGGTTCTAGGGGACTGGTCCAACTTGATGGCTCAGGGAGTGAAACATAAATGTTTCACCCTTGATACCACGCCGCACAGCAGATTCGCTTGGGTCACATTTGGATTGTATTAAATATTGCTCTACTGGTCAATGGATTGGAGTGTGCCGTTTTTAGGGGCGATTTTTCCCCAGTAGTCTCCGCGACGGAATTCGCCGCGGAGCGTGCTGACCACCTGAGGAAAACGGATTACTGCGCTTGCGTTTCTGTTGTGGAGGACACCATGACTTTACCCTGGAGCCACCTCATTGTTCGGCGGCACAAATAAAATATGCAGGAAGAATAGTAGCGGCATACTAGCTTGTCAGTCAAAGCCTACATGTTCAATCCTAAGACAGTCAGTCACGGAATAGATTTGAAACAGTTTGAATATTCAAAAATAACGGTCTGCATTACTAGCGGTTTGAGACACAACCGTCCACAACGTTTACCTGAGCAACTGAACGAATAAGTTCGCGATTTGTCGACTCTGTATTCTAAAATAGTCATAAACTGGGGTCAGAGTAAGAGGAAAAGGGGGGGGGGGGGGGGGTTCACGAAACGGTACCAATCAGGTCCGGTTTCCAGTGTGCCATTGAAATAAAGAATTCTTATGTGAATAGTTGGCACTGACTGCTTAACAGCTATCGATTAATACAAACAGAAAGTAACCTAACATTACACCACACATCAAACTTTGCTCTATCGCCATTAGAATCTCCCTCCAAAATGTAAACGTAAAAAACTGATGAAGCTTGTTCGCTACTGTTGTTTTTGTCGCCTCTTTCAGCTCCTAAGTGTGAATATCAGCTAACAACGAACTAATTTCGGTCAGCCGTTACACGTTTGATGATCTGTCATGCCGCAAGGAAACTGTCCGTCACACGACAGAGGCACAATGTTTGTCAATGGGAGCTGTCCGATGGATAAAATCATTCTGAACTGAGGTTGCTGAGATAATCTCCACAACAATACCTTGTATACTTCCGTCTATCACGAAATTCACTGTGTTGGATCTTTGCAATTCTGAAATTCACCTACCACAAAAGTCTTCATAAAGTCCTGTTCGAATGTGTGTGGATGGATTAGGGTTACCCTGAAAAGGAATTCTTTGGGGCACCCACTCTGTTTGTGTGGCTTTGCGAAAACCAAATATACCGCTTGTCCTATTCGGACAGATTGTACTGGTTCTGGTAGGGACGTCCGCGTTCCGAACCCAACCTCGGCTTCTTGGCTGTTCCTGTCTAGGTTTGAGTAATCTGGCACTATCTTAGCCCTCGTTAATCATTCTGGTGGGGGGGTGGTAGGTAGGCACTGAACTGGTGTTACAGATGAACGATTCTTTATATTGTTATTTACTTCCACTGTGCAACTACACAGAATTTGTAAGATTCAGACTGCGGGCGTGAATGTATGCTTCGGGGCTTCGGTTAAGCTTGCGTTTCCCCTGATTTTTACAAAATTTGGTGACTTTTGCTAGTGTTGGGGAGGAGTATCTTCTCCGAAATCAGCTTACAGCTTCGGTCTCGTAGGTGTCCGTTCATCAGAAGTGATAGGATCATGGTGCCTACAGAATCCTGAGTTTCACACATTCTTATACAACCAAACAATGCCTCCGTTATGTCAACATGTCATGTCAGAACTATCATAAAGATGGTGATGATAATAACAGTAATTGTCGTTTAACTGCAACACTTCCGATGCCCGGTTGGCATGCCGCCCGAGGGCTGAGATACTGCCAGTTCGCCCAAGCCTCGACAAGATCAACCGAGACGCAGATTTCAGATTCGAACCACTGACCTCCTGGTCAGTCAGCCAGATTAGTCTTCATTTCTTAGACAACGACGTCCATGTTCTGAAGTTTAATATCGCCACTTACACCCTAGTTGTTACGTAAGAACACATACTGTATCCACTCACCAGGTCCGATCGACAGAAATTTGGACACTATCTGATGAACCCCATAAGGGCAGTCTTAGAGTTTTCATAAATCATGTGGTATTTTACCAGGGAAAACTAATGTGTATTGTGTAAAGTCGAAAGCACGAAAAAAACTTTTGGCTACTATGGCAGCTTCTTTCTCTTGACGGGGTGCTTCCTCGTAGAAATTTTTTCCGCAAATCCACTGGCACTTGGAATAAGATGCGATTTTTTCTTATCTTTGCCTTATCATAAAGCCAGTGTACGCACTCCTTTACTTCCATTAGCCTAAGCCGTGCGTTCACCATCACGGGCCCATCGTGGCGTTTTCCCTTGTTAGCCTTGTCTTGCATTCCCAGTTCACACAGTTGAACTGTGACCTATACCCGTACGGTTTACAATGGTTGTTTTTTTTATTTGTAAGTCTTGATACAACACACCCTCCTCGGGCAATTACATTCGAGGGTTGACCAATAAGAATCGTATCTCATGCTTTCTGTACTAGGCCAATGAAGTTTTCCTTATATTCAAATGTTTCTTCCATCAGCCTCCTCGGGCAATTACATTCGAGGGTTGATCAATAAGAATCGTATCTCATGCTTTCTGCACTAGGCCAATGAAGTTTTCCCTATATTCAAATGTTTCTTCCATCAACTTGCAAAATGGTGAATAGAATCAGTCATTCCACGCGTTTCATATTCCATATCCTTCCACACAAACTACCACAACATGGTGAACCTGCTTGGTTGTCGTCATCCCCATCGCCCAGGTCAGTGAAGATCACTGGTTTCCTCTCATTTTGCTGAACTGAGCTAAGAGCAAGAGATCACAGTACGTTTTCGCGGTGTGCTTGAATACTCGAAAAGTGGTGCATTATTGTTCGTTGTTTTAACTTAGCCTCGTGATTTGATCGGTGTTTGAAGTAAGAAATTTCCCTGTGGCTAGTGATGCGTGTATATCCAACGTACTGAGTTGTACTGGGTTAGTATACCAGCTGTGCCTTCAATTCATCAGCAACAAATAGATCTGGATCAATATCATGAGGCGTTTTGATCATAGTGTTTCCTTTTTTGGGGTGGAAGGAAAGTGAACCGAAAATTTGAGAAACTGGAAGGCATATCTATCCTCTGGGCTATGCTCCCTCCAGCAGAAGGAAATTTCATCGCTTCAAAATGTTTTTTCTCGGGAGTCCGCTGAAGTTGGAAAAGCTGTACGTCACCGTGGTGTAAGGAGATTATCAGCTGCTTATTTTTCGAAAACACGATCACAGCATGTACCAGCAGTTCGCAGATTATATAACAATATCCTGTCGGCGCGTTGCTTGCGTACGATCCGTGAAAAATACGGGATCATTTCATGCCTAATTTTCATAGTAGTGCTCCGAATTTCAGGAGCTCGTGCGTTAACCTCGTCATCTCCAGATCGTGCTGTAAGCAACCGATATCCGGATGAATTTTTACTGACATCTTTTGAAGGTTTTACCAACTGAGATTAATTCTTCAGTTTTTAAGAAGGCCTTTATTCGAAAAAATAATGGACTTGTTTCTCATATCTCAATGATAACCGTTTTCTTTGTTGTTCACCAGGTATGATTAGTTTCGGCCTCAGTCTCTTTCTTCTAAGCGATCCGGAGAAAGAATCAAATCAGCGTCCAACATCCGTTGATTATGTGAACTCTATCAGCGGAACCTTCCTGATCATCTCCTATGTGCTACTAGACTCATTCACATCCAATTGGCAGGACAGACTATTCCAGAAATATGCGCTATCTTCTGTACAGGTGGGCGGTCCTTATGCTGTACCATGTGTTCAACCTACCTGTTTTTCGTTACCCACACCCATATGTGATTGTCTTTCGGCGAAGTGACCTCCTTTCATCTAACGCGTCTACTGGTAGCCTTAGTTGACAACAAGACATTGTGGAGGCTACTGAAACACTGACTTGGACTCGTGCGATTCGATACAACATGCACTTCCGGATAAGCAATCGAAAGTAGTCATGTAGTGTTCTGCTGCTGCATTGTTAACCAAACTTACCACCACCGCAAGGCTGATCGTTGTGGTCTACTTGGGGCACAATAGCCCCAAGTAGATATGGCCTTATCCCCTGCCTCCTAAATATTCAATCAACTACAATTTCATGGCATAAAATGAAGTGCCAATTATCCCCGAAGATAAGGTTTCGAAATTCGGTGAGCAGGTATAGCCAGGAGTATGTTCAGGGGCATTTTATCTGACCTAGTAACTTGCCGTGCAATCGGTCCTTCCTCTTGTCCGTTCTGATGTACATTTTTTTCCAATGTGTTCAGTGTTTTGTTCGAACGGTATTACAGGTGTCCAAATCTTTCTGTTTCGGATTGGCCACTCCATGGTTTTTTGCCGGCAGGTGCAACGTTTGCTGCTGTTTCCTTAAAACCCAAGCCTATACAGGGGAAGTCGAGAGGCAAAGGTCGGGTTCGAACTACGGACTTCGGGTCAGTAAATTCGCGCTCCAACCACTTGGTCCATCTCCCCCCTGAAGTACTGATAGGCCTTGTACATGCTTAACACGCTACTCATAAGGTTACCGAAAATCCTTCAGTTGAACGAGGACGTCATAACGAGCGAGCGATTCAGCTGTGATTTAGCCGGATCTCCCGTGTACACCAAAGTGCTTTGCAAACAAGTGTATTTGGTGTCGGATTTCTTTTCTACTTTGGAATGTTCAAGGCATTCAGTGAGATTAAGCTGCTTATGTTCACATTCGTGTGTTTGCTCACTTGATCACTCACCCACTTCCTTACGCACCTAACTGCACGTTTTTTTAAGTACCTAATTACATGGGATTTAAGAAGAACGCTCTTTACACCACACATGCGAGCACAGACAAATAGCTTAACGCGCTAGATAACTAGTCTGAACCTTCAAGTGCAACTCCCTGCTAAGTGCCTTAGCATGTAGCGACCCGCCTTTGGACAACAGAGCCACCTCTACATGTCGTTTTGTTGTTTTGTTTCATTGGACACGAGTGTCATTTCAGCATCCATTGGGTTTCTCCCGTCAGTGGATCGCGGTCCGACACACTGTATCCTGACCCTCTAGGGTTGGGCTTTAAAATGTATGGCAACTTCCTATTCAAAAACGTTGGACTACTGTGCGAATTTTACACACCGGCCATCTGTGGTCTGCAGTCAGGATTTTAAGCCAATGGCTTTGACTAGTTTTGAGCACCCTGACACTATATCAACCCGTTGAACCAACCATATAATGCAAAGTCCAACGTGTCGTAAATGTTAGGCTTCCCCACTAACCAACAAACAGGAACATCAGACTGAACACCCAGCACTGATCAAGTCGACTAGTCATAAAAAAGCTCACGGATCGGTTCCCTGACTGCCCTAAAACCCAATCAACCTACTTACTTACTCACTTGGCCTGACGAAGCTTTTGTGTCAAAAGCGAAACGTTGTCCAGCAATAAATCCACCGATTGTTTATCGAACCTCCAATGTATCTTCTTTCTACACGGGCAGTTCAGTGGTGTTTTTTATTCGCGACTGCTGATTCCTCTCATCTTCAGTTTTATCCGTTTACTCCCTTCGTGTTACACATATTAGTTACTGTTCCACAGATGTCGGCTATGGGCACATCAATCGAGCCTTCTGGAATGTGACTAATTAGGCACTCGGCTTCCGCTGTTCATTTCCCGCTGTCCGCTCGCACTGCAACGCATGTTTGCTTAGTTGACCGAGCGGTCGAGTGTGTTTCATGAACGAAAGAGCCATTGTTATGCAGTACCACTCCCCGTAACTGAATCGATTGGCTGCAATGAAACGACCATCAGACACGCTATTCCCTACCACAGTATCTCAACCCATCATGAAATGCTCCGGTAGCTTTTATGGAAAACGGAAGCATACTGATGTAACTAGATCTACATGAAGCGGAACGGAGTGGCCGATCATTGAACACTTGAATTGGAAGGAAGGCAGTCGACTTGATAACGAACTGTTGTAGTAATGAATGCCTCAGTATCAGGTCGAAACGTCCTCTGCGAGATAAATGATCAGGAAAGTAAGCAACTGCAATGCACATGGCGACTCGTAAAATAGCGGTTATCATGCAACAACACAGCGGCAGACACGCCAATATTTCTAAAGGGGAGCTACTTTGTATCAGGATGAGCAGAGTAAGAAATTCCCTACCAAAACGACTTGATGTACCTATACCTCCGACATCCAAATCTTGGTAGAAACTGACATCACGAATCTCGTCAACTTCGGTATGCCACCGTATTTTACAGGTTCTGCAGCTTGGCGTAAGAAGCACATGTATCCCAATCTGGAGGCCCAGCATACCAATGAGCTCTTGCAACGTGTGCTTTCATACGCGCCTTGCACTATTGGAATTTATGTATTTGTAGCCGGAATGCACAAACCTTAGTTATGCAGAGACCTATGTACACTCCTGTCATGATTAGGTGTGCTGAAAGACTGAGTGAAGACGAAAGCTCGAATTTGTGGTCATACAGCATAGGCATTCCGATATATTGAGAACTAGAAAAACCCTTGTAAACTTTACTGTTTGTTCCTTTGTTAACCGAATTTGGCCACTCGCTTACTACCGTTCCGTTGCCGGTCAAGTGGATACCATCAGCTTTACGACTGGCACTGTCCCCCTATCGCAGACCAAATATCTTCCAACCTAACTCCAAATAAACCAACCAACAACAGTATTCTGACACAGTGCCAATACATGCACTCTTCTCTTTTCTCCCTTCAGGTCATGGCAGCCGTCAATTTATGGTCTGTTTTGCTCACTCTTATCCCGCTTGTTCAACAAGGTGATCTGTTGTCATCCATCCGATTCGGATTCGTACATCCAGAGTTCAACCTGGATGTTCTGTTGTCCGCCGTATGCTCTGCAACCGGACAGCTATTCATCTTTCTCACCATCCAGAATTTCGGTCCTGCATCTTTTGTACTCATCATGACTTTAAGAATGGCCTTATCAATTTTGGTCTCATGTCTTTTATTTTCCCATCCTTTGTCGCCGATGGGTATTTTTGGTGTGATCTTGGTTTTTATCGCCCTATTTTTCCGCATGCACTTACGATCCAAACACGCTGGTAACAGTTCACTTAGACAGCCCGTGGTACCTCCTTTTTCACCTCGAAAAGAAGAAAAAGCAACCAGTCATGGTGGTAACTAGACAGAGGACGCCTCTCAATTGTCCCAAAGCATAACTGTGATATGCCTTCCGTTTATGTTTTTGACGTGTCACCTTTTAGCTGTCTTTGCAGGTGCTTTATCGCTCAATATCTTCCAAATACTATTTCTTGTTTGACGAAAGTTTTGCCCGTTACGGAATGGACACCCCAAACCGCCAAAATCTCTTGATCATTTAAGGAGATTACTTTGAGGATTCCTTGATAAGAATGTTAAATCTCTGTGTCCGTACTCCCTTCGGTGACCACATAGTAATGACATCTTCCGGCAAGTTTTCAGATGTGCTCCATCACACGTGGCTGGTTTTCTAGAGCAATACAACCTTTTGATAAAAAGGTTGGATCAAACCGAGGGGACTGAAGTCTATCTGTGCCAAATTCTGACCAACTGTGCATGATACCCGAATTTCAGCTTTCTCCTACTCTTTATTAATTACGCAATATAAATGCTTCCCAGACCAACAGTTAGGTGTGCTTTCCTTCTGAGAATGATGTAGTGTGTACATCGAGCTGAACGTCTGACTGGTTGCCGCATTGCGCTAATCTGTTATATCCTCACGTAACTTTTTACCTCATTGACCGTAGTAAATGGCTCAAGATCGGTTCTTCTTCTCTTCAACCATGGTAGCCCAGCAGTTTGGTTGCAATAGCATACCACCAGTCACTTGATCACTCAGCAGTAAAACGCACCTGAGCTTCGTATGTTGCGGTATGTCCATAACAAGACAGACGACCGATTGTCGACAAAGAGTTGACTCTGTGAGTAAAGCCAATTCATGCGGAAAAGCCGAGAAGCACTGCAGAGCTTTCTCATTCTTGCTCGGAATAATTAGCAGTGTGCAGATATTTCCATGGTGGCTGTCTTCAGTGGTTGAACACTTAACCCTTTGGCTGACTGGCAGTGTGACTTAGCTCCCACACAGGCAGGACATAACGCCACTCATCCATCAATCACGGAAACCGCATCAGTGGTCATATATTGGCTGGCTGCCTGATGACTTATGTGGGATTTTCACTCATCTTGTGAAATTATCCTGTCTGAGCTCCTTGTTGAACGATGGTGATGTGGGGGGCTCGGGTAACTTTCAATAGAGGCTTCATCCTGTGGGGATGGTGGGCATACATATGTACATCTTGATGCAGCACATGTCGAACGTACACAACGACTGCATGAGTTTATTATCCACATTCATATTACCTCACCTGCAAACTGTCTAACCATCTAGAAGTCAAGTTTAGGGCTTAAATAATAGTTAAATCGAGTTACCGAATACTTCACCAGGTCGGCAGAAAAACCAGACTAGTAACACTGCGCAATCAGACCGAACAGGCATACAACAGAAAACCGGTTAAGAAACCAACCCTGGATACACGTAGCTCTCAAGGCGGCGAAATAAGTGAAAGATAGGTGACTCGAGTTTCTCAGGGACATGACGCCGATTCCGCAAGAGCCTCCCATACGTTTGTGGGTGACAGAGCACTACGCTGTTGTTTTTGTGAGCTGAGTGGGAGTACGTTTGTGGGTGACAGAGCACTACGCTGATGTTTTTGTGAGCTGAGTGAGGACGAATCTAATTCAACCCTGTTACTAAATCTCGGATAATGGGAGTCGATGAGCTAAGAGAAATTTTGTCGTGCTCATTAAGATTAGAAGCAGATTTTATTGATGCATTGCTCAGAGAAACATGTTTAGACAGGCGCGACAATGGATGGTGGAATATATTGATATTAACTGATCTAAAACAGCTGTAGAATAGGGAGTTCGAGAACTGAGCATACAATGAATTCAGAGGAACTTCGACCCCAACCCGTAGAAGGAATCGCAGGCAACTGAGTATCAAGTAGGGCTTTAGCAACATCACAACTACGAAGGTTATCTACGAACCAATGAAAAACGTTGAAGTGTTGCTCAAGATTCCGCACGAAACGTGCAGGATCCTTATTGATGGTCCAATCAGCCGTGTGGAGGGCAAAATAATGGTGTTTTTACCGCACATTATGCCCAACTGACATCTATCGTAACTGACAGGGTGCTCGTAATCAGTGACAAAACAGTGCTAACAAACAACCCAACATACCGTTCTAGGGCGTTTTGGCAGCTGAGGTCACAAAATACTTCACCTGAAAAGGCAACTAAGCGGATTTCTGATAATGTGGGTCTGTGTACTTGTCAAGAATCTACTCAAGTTCCTCTTGAACAGCAGTCTGGACAGGTTTCGACCGCTTTCATTTGGGGCTGTTTGCAAACCTAAAGTTCACTCAGTTATTCTTTTTTTTCGAAAACCTCTGGGTTTTTTTTGGTTTGTTTTTTGGGGTGAGTGTTGACATCGGTGAATAGCGTGTGTTTTGAAGTGAAACTGATGTTTGGCGTCCTGAACAGGCATGTGTTCTAAGCTATAATTCTCACCTCCAATGCGGCCTACATCAGCAGCCGTATCGTTTTTTTTACTAACTCCTGCGTCACACAGGTCCTCAAGTTGTAATGATTTGTCAGATGAATGACTAGCTTTTCTTCCCGCTTTTAACTAACTATCGCTTATTGGTCAATTAAAGATGGCTGATGTGTATACACAATGAATGCTTGGATAAAGCAGAATTGTTCGAAGAACAGTAATCCGTGGAGCCTCACGACCGAGAATCCATTCATCAAAAACAGCAAATAGAATAACACACCAGATACACTAATAAAAACATGATCCGTGCTTCCAATCCTTGTTTCGACTGAGTCCGAACCCGGTGACAAAAGTGCTCGGCATCCACTGACTCAATTTTCAAAACTTGCAACCTTTGACGTACAATGAACTGGCAAGGGTTTAGCAAGCAACCTCTATTCATGAAACTATTTTCCCACGTGTGTCGTTTCGCTCGACGACTTTTGCTTCTGGGCTAGGAGGCTACTTAGATTAAAATACTTACGCTTATACATTCCAACCTTTGTCCAGCTTGCTCGACTTTGAAAAGCTCTCCAGAAAATAACGGTCATTTAACACAAAACCATTACCTCCGTGCACCACTCCATTTTGTTATTAAAATCAACTAAAACGGAAGCGTTTTTCTACTAACATTTACGATGGAATTTCGTTGCATTGAATAAAACCAGGGTATATTACTTTGGGCAGCAAAGGGAAAGACGTCATTTAATTGGTATCAGAGGTTTTCACCCTTTGCTGTATATAGCCGGATGATAATAATAATGTATATTCCCAGTGGGTGGGTGGCATGCCTTCAGACATGATCATAATGGTACAGTCAGAGCAATGCGCAGAAGGAGGATAGTTATATAAATAATGGCATAATCCGACACAGATGAGGTCATGCATAGACTAGCACTACCTAAATACAGTGGACATTAGGGACGGAGAAACACAGCTAATGGGGTTTTCCACCTCGTGTGGAAGCAAGATCACACTGTTACAATTCAGAGATGGCGGGCAACAACTGGACCATCAGAGGGGGACAAAACTAAGGGTTCCTGCTTGACACGTAATGAGGAATTATGGTCTGTGGAAAATGAGAAACTAGAGCAACGAAACTGGAAAGTGAGTACTTCGGACGTGGATGTGGGGCCGCGGAAAAGTGACTCGATTGGGGTCAAAATCGGTGAGATAAACCGGAAAATCCTCAGGGTAACGTGACGTAACGGCAGGACCTAAAGGG